TGCACAGCTGGGGCTAAAGAGATAAAAGATTTTGTTGTTGCTCTCGAAAAGCTCAGAGTCCCACGGGCAAGGTGGACTAGTAGGCAGGTGTGACCTTGTGATAACCACCATGGGGTACAAGGCACATAGGAGAGGTGCCAATCCCTGTCTGCAGATGGAAAGGTAATGCTTCCCTGAGGAAGCGTTCTGAGTGGTTTTGAAGGACCCATAGGAGTTAGCCAGTAGAGAAAGGAATTTGCAGCATTGTAAACAAGAGTGAACAGCAGGTGCAAAGGATAAAACATGAAATGACATGTATATGAAGAAACTGTCAGGAGTTCATTGTGCTAGAAGGTCAGGTATGGGATCAACAAGGTAACAGATGAGACTGGAGAAGGCAGGAGCCAGGTAATTGAGGGCCCTGCACGCCACATGAGGGGTTTTGACGTTTATCGTATTGGCAGTGGGTAGCCAGAAAGGATTTTAGGTGAGGAAGTAAAAGATCAGAATTGCATTTATTAGTTCTGAAGGCAGAATGCAGACTGTGAAGAAGAGAGGTAAAGATTAAAGACAGAACAGCCTTAGCTAGGAAGACAGGGCAATAATCTCAGAAATGATGAAGGCATGAGCTAAGGCAGTGGTTCTCAAAGTGTGGTCTCCAGAGCAGCAGCATCACCTGGAAACTTGTTAAAAATGCACATTCTCAGGCCCCGACCCAGACCTAGTGAATCAGAAACTCTAGGGGTGGGGCCCAGCAATCTGTGTTTTAACAAAACCTCCAGGAGATCCCAGAGATTCTGAGGCACAAATGTTTGAGAACCACCAAAGTAAGTCAACGTAAGGGATGAAAGATGGAGCGTTTAGGGAGGTTTAAAAAAAAAACCATTATCATCGAGTCAATTCCGACTCATAGGGTCCCTACAGGACAGAGTAGAAGAATCAATGGAGCTTGGGAACCACCTGGCAGTAGAAGGTCAGGAGAGCTTCCTTCCCAGATTTCTGGTCTAGATAATTGAATACATAGTGGTATCAACTGGTAGAGATAGGAATGCTGCAGGAGGGGCACATTTGGCTATGGAAGTCAGGGGAAATGAGTTTGTTTTTCAATACCTTTGGCTAGAAATGACTGTTGCCTCTTTGACCACCACAGAACTTTGACCTTTTCAGGACATGCACTTTCTGGGTCCCATTACTGTTGCATTTATGCACTAGTTTTGAACTGGATTGTAAGCTCCTTGAGGGTTGAGGCTATATTTTACTTATCCCCCAGAAAGCCTCGCCCAGGTACCTGCACAGACATGTGTCCCATAAATGTTCACAGGATGAAGATATTCCCTTTGGAAATACTTTTTGGAGTCAAGAAATACAGTTAACTGAAGACAGAACTATCACCCAGGTCATGAATTTAGCTTTTCCTGGACAGACCTGTATGTTCATTATCCTACTTCCACTTGGAGCTAATGGTTTTACATCACAACATCTAGGAAATCACCACAACACAAAACAAATGACCATTTTCTGGGTGCTTCTGGGGGCCACACATTGTGCCCAGGAGTTCTTTATACACATGGTGTCATTTAATCCTCACGATGACCCCAGGAGTTAGATATTATTATCCACACAACACAGGTGAAGAAACTGAGGCATAGAAAATCTACATAAATTGCTTAAGGTCTCCTACTAGCAAAAGGAGGAGCCAGGATTGAAATGCATGTCTGTCTGACACTGAAATCCCTGCTCTTTATTACTGAGCTGCAATCTTCTCCCATTACCACTACCAGTTGCTGTCGAGTGGACCCTGACT